TTCCATTACCTTGGTTCCAAACGTGCATTTGTTTCAGCTGAGTTTCTGCACATTCATGGGGAAGTAAGGAGAAAAAATAGCCAAAATAATTACATATTATTCCCCCCTTTACACTCTATTAAATATAGTAAGTGTTCAGTGAGAATAAATCATTTTGACATTGAGTCATCTGACTTGCTGAACCCTCAGCTACATTTTGTAAGTATCCATGTCAGGCTGCAACTGATGCAGTGATTAGGAAGTACACAGGTCCTTCAGAAATGTTTTGTCCTCAATGTAATCATTAACCTTTAATGACTTAAATCTGAATCTATGTTATTGGAATATTGACATGTATTCAGTTATATTTTCAGTCAATGATTTTAATTTGTTTGTTATATTGTGGTAAGTGTTCAAAAGTTACTGTTTTTTCAGCACTGCTTGGCCGGTTAATGTTATTAAGGAACTTTTTCATTGTATTTGATGAATTACTGCTGCCAGCTACTACTACTATACAGTAGTTAGCATCATTTGGCTGGGTGTTCGGAAAAATGGCAAGTAAATAATTTAAAACAATATAAAATATACACCTCCTAAGCTTTTATGCTATCAGATCAGTTGGATATGCATTTCCACGTTTGCAATTTAAAAAAGTTTTGACTTAATCTTTTCATACAAACTACAAATAAAAAATCAGGCGTGTATTTGAAAAGCTTCCACCAACAACGATGTAGAGTTTTATTTTTAGGCCTCCATTTACCCTTTTAACATCTCAGCAGTGGCCAAATGAAAGTTTATTAAAACCTCCATATTCAATATTCTTTGGGAGCACACAAAGTGTTGCAAGAGCAAAATGATTAAGCAGTATATCCTGATTACATGCTCCTCTCTCACAAACGTACACAATGTTCTTGTGACTGGTTTTGTAATTGCTCCTTGTTCCAAACCCTGTACAGTAATTAAGAGACGGAGTCATGTAAGATTAATCCAATTCTTTATTAATCCTCCCCTCAGTAATGGGAATTAATTTGGCTGGACACGGATGCCGCTATTCTTAACATCTCCATTCATTTTCTCCCCTCATTCGCCCTCTGTTTTACTGATCTCATTGAGAGAATAAACCCCTTCCTCATCTATCTCTCTTCCCTCGCCATGCTTGCATGTCAGGGAGGAGAGAGGGAAGAATGTAATGGTGCTATTTATAGTAACTGTTTCCGTTTAAAAAGTAAAAGCATTTCAGTATCCCACCCACCCGTTCTGTCCTTCCTCTGTGTGCCTCCACTTACTTTACCCCTATCATCTTCTTCTCACCCATCCATCTTCCTCTCCCTCTGCTGGCGCCATTGTTTAGTTGCTATCGGCAGAGGATGTATAATTCATTTCTCCTCCGGAGTTGTTGCGCACCAGTCATGAATTGAGTCAGGGTGAAGGGAAGGAGAGGGGGAATGAATAAAGAGGCAGGGAGAAGGAGCAACGCTTCGTGCTGCGCATCTCAAGTTGGCTTTGTTTTAAACGCAGCCAGCTCATGTTTATTATCTCCGTTTTACTGGGGGCGTCTCGGGACCTTGTTTTCTTATCAGAGATCAGAACAGACCAGGTCATCTCTGCTGTGTTTGTGATGTGGCTTTATAATGTTAATCACAATTCAACCTTTTAGTCAGTTTCTTGGCATAGTTATAGTGTCATTGAAAACAATCTCTCATGGTGTGCTCATTAATTAATTATATCCTTTCCAGCTCACTGAGAAAAAACACAAGTAATAAGACTCTGGCTCAGTATTCAGACCTTATCCTGGAATAAAAGTACCAGTGGAACACTATGGAAACACCCTGCTAAGTAAAAGTACATTCACACCTTCAGTACAGTATAGCATTATAAAAATGTACTTATGGTTTCTAAGTGAAAGTATTCATTATGTATAAAAAAGGTATAGGTAGGACAATGTGTCATCATTTAATGAAATAGTGTTGTGAATAAATCTTAATAGAGATTTCAGGATACATACCGACTCAAATCTGTCAGAAACTCTGATGTAAAATTGTACTTTTGTTTTTACATCGCACTATATGTTCTCTCTTAATATATTGAAACAGGTTAGCTTTTATTCTCTAGATTTTTCCTCAGCACTTATGTTCATCATTAAATGAGAAGAAATATTCAGTACATTTTGTCGTTCATTTAATTAATTATATAATGAATGCAGTGTAGTAAAAAGTGCAATATTGGAGTAATAATAATTGAAGTGGAAGTATAGAGTACACTTGATAAGTAAAAGTACCTTAGAATTGTACTTAGGTCCAGTCCTTGAGCAAATGTCCACTGTTGTTTTTCTATTTGTTGGCATTCTGACAGTGTGTTGCTTGAGAGGCATTCATCCCATCATCTCCTATGGGTGATCCACCAGAAAGCTGTGCAGGGTTCAGTGCTCTCTGACACCGTCCATAACAAACACTCCAGTGTCCTCAGAATAATCAGTGGAAGTGTAGAGAAGAGAAACATTTTCAATACCATCCTGACAGCAAGGTGTGATTTAGGGTCGTGGGGGAGGACGTTTCCCGGAGAGTTTTTTGCTTTCAATAAATGCGGCTTGCAGTGCATTAGGTCACTGAATCATATACTGCTTTTGATTCTGAAATGGCATGTCATGGAGGAGGGCAGGAGCACCTTCACTCCTGTCAAATAGATATCGGCACAGATGTTGTTGTTGTTGTCTTGTCCCAATCATTGAGAGTTTTTCTAATTGCTTGATGACAGCGGCCTGAAAGAAGTAATTTGTGGTTTTCCAGGGTTTGTTTGGCTGTCATCTTTTCTTATTCAGCCAACAGCAATTTGTCTGGTTGAAACATTTGTTTATCTTTGGCAGTTATCCCATTTATTGGCTTTAGCGAATGCGTCGAACTTCACTTTTGTTTCTCCTTACAGACCATTTATGTCTTTCAATTTGTTCTCACTCTCTTTAGAGCATTCAGAAAAGCATATTTGGAATCGATCTCGACAGCTAGGATGGGAAATGTATTTTAGAAACATTTAACAGTAATATGTGTTGAACTTTTCTTTGCCAACTTTGCCATCTTCCTCACTAGATTAAGCAATTTGGAGCCAGTGCTGCTTGCTGCTGTCAGTTGAAAAGATCTGGCAACCCTTGCCTGGGTTTTTTTGGTTTAATAATTACAAAAATCTACTACTCAAGCTTTAATCAGCAGCAGCCTTCAGGTGTGATAAGAAATGTCTTTGGCTCTCATTCCTCATAAATGAGTGATGGACCGGTATGTTTTTGGAACAAGTAAGCAGATTGTATGATGTCAAACAGCCTATTTCTATCACTTATTTTTTCCTGTTTTTGTCACTGCTAGCTGTCACTTCTGCGCCCACAATCCTGATGAGACTAAAATAGAGCCTGAGCCTGACGCCTCCTTCGAAAACAACACTTGATGGCGGAAATGGCAAAGTAATGACATACAACTTTACAAGGAGAAATGTCTGCCCTGCCGATATGTGACTTTAGTCCTTCATCTTCTAAAATCTCCAGTTTAACACACAGCCTTCACTGAAGCACAGTCATCCTCACCTTGAGAACTGATTTGGTGGTTTTAGAGGATGTATCTATGTTCAATTCATCTGCCAGAGATCTGAACTTGACTGAAAATATGTCAGAAAAAAGCTAGGCTAATATTTATTTAGAGCTGTAAAATGGTTGATCTCTCACCAAGGCCCAGCTTTTTATCTGCAATTGTGTTTTTATTCCAGCAAAACACAGCAGTGATCAATTTCACTGTCTATTGTACATGCTTAATTATCAATCATTTGTTTCAATGACTGAAACAGTTCTGTCTCTTGGGTTGTCAATGGTTAAGTTTAACATCCACAAAATATCTACAAACATAGTGCATTTAATTGTTGATGCTTTGTAAAGCCATTGTTCTGTAAAATCCATCCCAATTCCATAATTCTGGGTTTGGAATAAACCTAATGTTTAAAACGGTATGCAAACTAAATTCACTTGATTTTTGAAGGTGCCATGTTATTGACAAACTGCACAACAGGAATAGAGTGACTCCTCACATCTGGAATTCTAGAGTAGTGAGACAGCTCCATAAATATCAATAAAAGCACACTTTTGGAAAACAGCTTAGCTTTCTCTTTGTTAAAAGCAAGACCACATAGCTTGTGCTGAAGAGCAGCCTCAAAGGAAAGAAAGGATGAGGATGAATGATAAATGTGGCTTTACAGTAGCAGAGCAGAGGAAAGTAAAAAAAACAGCAAACTGACATAGATACTACTATCTTAGGTCTGCGAGCAATAGCTAACATGAACAACCAGTAGCTACTGGAAACACCAAAGTAAGACTAAAGCAGTACAACTCCTGAGTGTATTTCATAAACTAATAGTTGTTTTGTCTCATTAAGTCAACGCTTTATGTTACCAGAAGAATTTTGAAAACAAAAACATTTGCCTAAAGTTTCAATATTTGAATTTGGCAGAAGGCTTCACACTTTAAATGAGTATCTATTAGAACAGGACTTATCTTTATTTTGTTGGTGTGATTTGATGGTCAAGTACATTGTATTCTTGTGTATTAGCTGCAAAGACGGTATACTATTTTACAGTCTCTTTGTCTGTATGGTCTAAGTATATAATCGTGCATTGAAACCATAGACTGTATTTATAGATTGAAACTCTACTTCATGTATCACTATCTGCCACCATCTAGTGGACTTTTAACAGTACAGCACTCAATGTGGGAGGACCTGTTGTGATTTAACATCCTCTCAGATGGTAATATAATCAGTAGAGTTTGGACATTATGTAATATAGCAGCTGGAAGTCACCTTAAATAATACATCCTATTGCAGTGTATTTTGGATACTATTAAGCAGGTCATATAGTGATGAAGTGGTCGCCAAAAGTACTAAAACGTATTTATATTAAGCAGGTCCACAATGAAATACAACTGTAATCCATGACAGTAAATATAACCTTAGTCGTAGCTCATTCCTTTTTTCCCCCTCTTGCCCACACAGCTGTTCACTGCAACCTGAGCCAGAATGGCATTGACCACCAGATGTGCCCGGAGGACATGACGTCACAGCCGGAGGAGGAGGAGGAGTCTGTGGACGCAGGGTCTCTGCTGCTTGACGACGACAGCCCGAGCTACCAGGACGTCAGCCCCCTCATGTACCAGCGCCGCGCGCCGCCACAGCGCTCCGTCTCCGAGTCTGAGCTGTCACGGGTAAGTGGCGTTACGAAAGATAGCTTCCGTGGAAATCCCTGGTGTATACCTAATTTTACTATAGTCTCTATTTTGGTTTCACTGTATGTTTGTAGAACATTAAGAGGGATGTTATTAGGGATTGAGCAACCCAGCAGTATAAAGTAGTTAGTCCCACCAGATGCAAAACAAATCATTCATGCAATAAAAAGTTAACTTCTTTTCCGTTCTTCCTTTATTTTGTTAACAACCCTTTTTCTCCCATAACACAGCACTTTTGGCACCTAAACGTTGTAAGGCCAGAACCCAACCGAACTGTGATCTGTGAACAGACAGACTTGAAATATGATGCAGTTAGCATTGTCATTGTATGTTCCAGTAGTGCTGATGTTGGCATTTAGTTCAAAACACAGCTTAGCGTTTACCTCGTACCCTGGAAATAGCCGTCTATACTGTATGGCTGTTGACACTTTCCATATCAGAAAATTCACAAAATATTTCGATATTTTGAGGGTTCTGCTTGCGCAGTGCTGTTAATTTCCTTTCCTTGGTACCAAATTGATTGTATGTGTGATCAAATAACAGTCAAACATCCTGCTTGCTACACAAAACAAATCAACCACCCTCTTAATAATATTCCCCCATGTTCCACACATCTACCCCTTCAGTACAAACACATATTTTAACAGAGAATAAAACAGGAAAGACTCTTCCTCTGTGTTTCTGATAATAGATCAGAGCATCCATCATCAGCAATGCAGAATAAATGTCTTACTTCCTCTCCAGAAATAGGCCGTGTGGTTAGGACTGTAGGAGGATATGTGAGGAATCGCTGCTTCCGCATGCATGCATGCACACACACACAAACACACACACACACACGCATATTTGTGTTCTCTTTTCTCTGTGTGGAATCTGTGATAATCAGCTGTCAATCAAAGCAGTCAGACATAGTCCTCTGTGTAATCCCCGCATGGACTTTTGGAAATACCAGACAGACAGCAAGGCCTCGGTTCAATTGGTGCACACACACACACACACACGCTTTGTATTGTGCTTTGACTGTAAATTATCTCAGAGTTTCCGAGGAGCTGTAACATTTATCCATGCTTCGTAGTCTTTGCAGGTATCATGTCATTTTATATCATGGCATCGTTCCTATTATAGCTGAGTTGCATTATAAACCTGGAGGAGGTACTGCATTGTTATAATTTACCTGACTAAGCTCTTTTTCTCATTTTGGTGTCTCTTGATTCCACTTAAGAATAAGTGTTTCTCTTTGGGGGAAATCCAATAGATCAAGTGCATAAAGACTATTGGTACATACAGTAGAATGGCAATATATTTTTAACAGCCAGGGGCCACATATTATTTATAAATACTTAAGTTATATAGGAGGTTTGCAGCTTTTTAGAACTTTATAGTTAACAACTAAAGTCCATGTGTAACTGTGAGAGTGTCTACAGCTTTACTTATCTCACATATTTCCAAGTTTTAAAGGAATATGTGGGCTCTGTGTAAACTAAAATACTAACACACACCACCTGTGATTTATATGATTCCTTGAAACTATTTTCACAGTTTACTGATAGATTGATTACTTTTTTAGTATGGGTTCATGAAGAGCATACAGTAAGAACCTATTATGGTATATTTAGCACTGAACAAATATGTATATATAATAAACCCAGACCTGAGTATGTACGAAGAAAATCATACTTTAGGTCATTTCAGGTAAATCACATCTGCAGTGATCATTTCTAAAACAACATTTGATTATCTGTGCCCGGCTGGGTTTGTAATGGAGCCAAGGCTCAGCCATAGCTTCAACACGAGGCATAAATCAGCCTTTTAGACTCGCTGGATGGCTGTAACATCCATAGCAAATCATCTCATCTCAGTACTAATCAATATCAAACCCAAGGTGAATATATCTTGTTTGGTGTTAACACACTCTGAAATGCTTTATGGACCCTGGCAAATCCCAAGGTCAGGACTGTGAAGGGGTCTTGTGCACTTTCTTTGATGTGCCTGGGTGAAGTTGAGGCTCCTTACGAGGGGGATTATTAATTTACCCAGCATAGCGTGTTATTCTCCTACAGCCATCATCAGCTCTCTGGACACATACACAGAGATGTATCTCATTTTCATCCCTATTCCTGTATGTAACACATTAATTAATACAGGGAATTTTCATCTCCTGCCAGCCCTGGCTGAGAGAAATGGAGCGAGGCAGGGAGAAAGGAAAGGGAAAGTGAGAGAGAGAGCATGCCAGAGCTGTTAATTAGCTGTGCGGTTAAGATAGGGCTGATGACACTGGGCTCCGTGTCTCACACAGCCATTCACTCAGTCAACATGGCACTAATGGCATCAGCCCTCCTCCTCGTCCTCAGCGCTCTTCTGTCCAGTCACACTTTAAAAACGAAGTTGTTGCAGTGTTCAGTTCGGACACTAGAGGGTAGCATGTGACAGTGGATCCTGCAGATGTTAAGTGAGCAAGTTCAATATGCAGGCAGGGGAAGGACCCCAGTCTAATGCAACCTTTGCTGTTTATTGCTGGTGTTTTAAAAAATGCTTCAAATAAACAGAAAAGCGTGCAGATTTGATGTGCAATGAATTCATGGACTGACAAGTGAGAGGAAGGTTTATGCAAGAGGATAACCTCCATATTTCTAAGCAGGATATAAACATTAAATATACATAAAGCACAGTAATGTAATGTTTGATGTGTTTGTCATTGTAGTCCTTAACACGTTTAACTTTATTGCTCTATCCATAACTGGATTATGACTATGTTTTGATGCTGTTTTTACAGCAATTTACTGCTCTGGGAACACTCTCCCTTTTACAGCTTCTATCAAAGAAAACTTGTTATTAGCTGATTATCTAAGAACATCAAAATGTTGCTTTAGTCCAATTTTTTATTGGGGGTATTGGGTTTATGACTGCTCCAAAGTCTAGCTGTATAAAAGTTGAAATTGCGTGGAATTATCCCCAGTTCCTGATGAAGTTAACACACAACCTATACACAAGGGCTGCTGCATTTTGATTTAAATAATAGACATCATCAAATCCATCCAAATGTATTAATAAGCAGATATGTCGTACAATCATAACATACCAAAGAAACATAAAATGATGTAATATAGGGATAGTGGTGGTCTAATGGATAGTGAGGTGGGCTGAAGATCGGAAGGTTGTGAGTTCAAATCACGCCAGGAACACCACCACTAGTGTGCCCTTGAGTAAGGCACTTAGTCCTTAGTTACTCCAGGGAGAATGTCCCTGTAATTGGTAATTGTAAGTCGCTTTGGATAAAAGCGTCAGCTAAATGAAATGTAATGTAATGTATGCACCTCATAGTGAGTAAAACTATAGAGAATATAGACTTTAAAATGGGATTTATAAACAGGCACTTTGGGGCCAGCCTGTGCAGAGGCATTATGCTTATTTCCCTTATATTCATATGTAATGTTAACAACATCAAGTTGACTAATAATTGCCTCATAAAAGACCTTTCCCCTGGATCTGAAGATTATATTACATCATGTAAGTAGAAACTGAGCTTGTCGCCTTTTTCTGATATTCTTTTAAAGTCTGACATCTCGGGTTTTGTTTTTCAAAACATGATTAGACAATGAATCTGGATTGCATTGTTTTGTACAAAGCCCCGTTTCATCCAACAAACAATATTCCTCCTAATGAACGCTGCCAGACAGCTGTAATGGTTCTGAACAACAGTAACAGCTCCTGCACTGTCAAAGAGCGATTGAATATTTGTTTTGCCCTTGTACGCATTTGCTCAATAAATAAACACTGCCCGCTTCTTTTGTCTGGGGAAATAACCAGGGCTGAGGTTCAGTTGTTGTTTTTGTGCAAGTAAAAAAAAAAAAAACTGAAATCTACGTGACATTATAAGGTCTCTGTGGCGAGTGTAATACAAAACACAGTTAATTGTTGACAGAACAATGTCATTATGGGGGACATTTCTGCTGTACTGTAGTTAACATTTTTAATTGAGTGTAAAGCCATTTGACCCTGCAATCAGCCCAACAATATTGGAGCCGGAATGAAGGGATGTGGGGGGGTGGGGGCGGTGAAGCTCTCCTAAGAAACAAATACCGCTGTATTCAACACAACTGCCAAATTCCCTCTATCGCACAGTGTTTGTCGCTAGAGTGCCTTTCAGCGCTCATAATCCCCAGCTCCTTTTGTATTCCAACAGTGTCTCCACAAAGAAGGCCATGTGATTGCCTCTTGATTAATTTAGCCGAGTACATTCATATTGGATCTTTAAATGCTTATCAGTTTAGCACGATTACATGCTTCATTATGTAAGTAATGGTTTTCCACTGTGGTCCCTAATGTCTGGATATTCATTCCACATTCTTGGTTCATGTTTGGGCCGCACGGTTTCCCCCCCCAAAGGCTTTATTCATCGCCTTTTAATTTCTGAGGTTGTCCTTGCTCTGTTGCTAAGGTAACGTGAAGAATACTGGGAGCTGTACTGGGCTTTCAGTTATCAATTAAAAGTCAAAGACAGCAACTCGCTGAATACACTGAAAGTTGGCAATCGGATGGTTGGTGTGTGTACATTACTTTTTATTTTCCAGATGGTCGACTGGGCTGCACATGTGGATATATATTTATATATGTGTGTGCCCGTTCCCAGGCGTATCCCACTTAGAAATAAAGCAGGCTTCTCCTCTCACCCCTGTGCTGTCACTCAAATCTCTAATTGGCCCTCCCGTCTCTTGAACACTGCTCTTTGAGCATGATTCCTGTTTTCTCCTCTCTGCTGTTTTCTCTCCGCCCTTTGGCTCTGTTTGCTGCCTGGCAGGCAGGAAGGCTCCGGCTTACCTATTGTACCCGGCCCCGGGAACACAGCTATGGGCTAAATCAGTGCAGAATGTAAAACACAGATGGCCATTGACTCACAAATGTGTTCATGGAAAATGAGAGAGTCTCCTGTGTCAAATTCTGTCCAGTCCATTCTGGAGTTTTTTTTTCTTTCTGCTCTCCTTCCTTTTCCCCTTTGCTTCATTTCTTAGTCAAGCCACCCTCAACACTCCCAGCATCCTCTGCTTTCTCTCCTGCTACTTCAACTCTCCCAAACTCCCCTTTTCCTCGCATGCTTTAAACACACACACTCCTCTTGTACTTTCTCTCCATCCAGGCCTCCTCCTGTCGCCCCAGGCTCTTAGTTAGGCTCAATTAGCATTAAGTTGAGATGTGTTTAATGGTTAATGTGGCTTCTACCTGCAACACCATTCCCTCCCCTCCCCGCAGATTCATCTATCCACACATTAAGAACTGCGGCTTCACCTACCTGCTCGCCTTGACTGTCTGTCACTTCGCCTACCTGCAGGGGATGTAGAGCGCATGCCAAAACCAGCATGTACATCTCCCCCAATTTCTCTTTCTCTCTGGGGTGCTAGATATAGAGTGAGTGGGAAGGAGCTGTGGAAAGTCACAGAGGAGGAGAGGCTGAGGTAGTATCATATAATAAGAAACGGGTGAGATAGACGGAGATGGGGGAGATGGGGGAGATGGGAGATGGGAGATGTGAGATGCAGTATGTGAGCAGAGGAAGTGATAAAGACAATGTGATAGATCTGACAGGGACTGGGCGAGATTGAATACAGTGGAAGAGATGAGGGATGGGTGGGGGGAGAGCTTGAAGGAGAGGAAATGCTGCCAGTACCTGTTATTCTGCTCTCTTCTGGGTGGAGAAGAGAAGGCTTTCCATTGCTATGCCACACCACATGGCAGCCAGAGAGCATGCTGGAGTAGAGGGGAGTGTATGTGAAATTGTAATCACCTCTCTCCGTTTGTAATTTCAGGAGCCCCTCAATCAGAATCAAAAGCACAGCCAGCACTTTCAAGAGCGGTCCATTTGGCAGGTTACTGCTCTGCCCGCTGTTGAAGTATTTAAACTATCTCACAACCAGAGTACAGTGCAATATAGATATGTGCATGTCAATTAGGGCTGGGCAATATATTGATAGTATATCGATACCATGATATGAGACTAGATATCTCCTTAGATTTTTGATATTGTATTGTAACAGGAGAGTGAAGTACTTTTGAATTATTAATCTTTACCCACATTTGCCCAATATACTAATGATTATTCATCAAAACCACAAATAGTGAACACTACAATACTACTATATTTATATTGATTTATTTGATTAAAACAAATTGTATATAATTCATACCCCCCAGCCCTAATGTGCGTATGTGAACATTATATTACATAAATGTTTAATACAATATATAAAGTGACCAATTTTTTTGCAGATTAAACCTTCATTTTGCACAAAGTGGTTACAACGACATTACTGGCGTGTGTGCTAATAGGGGTGCTGTAGACTGTAGAGCAATACTTGAATTAGCTTGGATGGTTTCGATTTTGAACTCTCCCAAAGCATTTATCAAGCCTGGATTGACAGCTCCAATGTTGATTTAAAACCTTTATGTCAACTTGAAATGGTAGTGATTCATAATGGCAGAAAGTTGGTGGTGTTTTATTCCCGCTCTACATTCTAGCTACTTGAATTTGAGCACTTGGTGCCTTTCTCTGATTTGTTCAACTTTAACCTGACCTTTTTTTTTTATTGGACTGCTGTTCAAAACTATTTAAAGAGTCACCTCAGTTTCTAGGAAATCGTGTTGGATATATCAAGAAAACAAATCACACATTATTTGTTAAGCTAGCAGTCTACTGGATGTGGCCTCCTCTGTTTTAGGCAAAGCTATTGTATTGTCTTATTTGTATGGTGTTTTTGCTTAGTTAATTTCCACAATTTTAACGAAAAAATGCATATGTGTAGTGGCTATGTGCTGTTAAAGGTAGCACTATATCATTAAAAGCTGCTATACATAATGTATCTTTCAAAATATTCATACTGTTTCAGAGAAGGAAACATTATTCAACATGCTTGATAGGCCGGGTACAATGCAATTTGGGGAATTTCTTTTTTATGTATACCAAAACCTATACTTAAAATTAAAGCATCCCAATCTCTGTGGCAGACACTGTAAACACCAATAATCTAGCAGAATAGACATACAAATAAAACAGATCTTATTTAAATTTGGATGACTGCTTAATGGAGAATTAAATAAATAAATACAAAATCTTCCCAGACATCAAAAGTTCCTTTTTTCTCGTTATGTGAAGTAACACTGCCTTACTCTTGTTGTCAACATTTTTAACCTGTTAAACCCCAAGGACCCGCCGAAGGGTCCGAAAATGCTACATCTGCTAGCACCAGTGTGATCTCTGAAGTGTCATTTATGAAACTATTAATGTTCCACACCCAGCTGACGGGAAGAAACTCAGCTAACTGACTATACGAAAAAAAATAAAAAAATAATAATAATAATTCCCACAAGAAGCCTTTCAATGAGCCCTTAGCAAATACGGACTAATGCTATTTCTGCTCATAACTCACAAAAATTATCATTTATAATTATACTTTCTGCACAAACAACACATCATCTGAAAGCTGAGATTCCACAGATTCCATTGGCATAGGTCTCATCACTGCACGGCCAGAACTCACTGAGCTAGCAACCAGAACATAGCAAATAAACAACATCAGTTGTCAAATCCATGACAATAATTAGCAGGTTAAATTTTACAATAATTTCTTTTCTTTTTTTTTTCTTTTTTTTTATGGAATGAATAACTATAGTGATGAGTCAATGTTATAAAATGATTTTTACAGTCTGGTACCTGAAAAAGGTGAAATGGCACTGATGGAACCAGATGTGCCCAAATGTGCCCAAAGCTTATTCCGCCTGGAATTTTTTTCCCTAAATATCTCTAAAAAGGTCAATTTTCACTTGTTTTGCCTCAATCTTGATACAGGGTACTTATTATATGTTATAATTTTGATTCCTAAAGCTTTTAGGCTACTAACCCATCATTCAAGGGTGGTTTTCACTATAAGTAATGGTTTTTTGTTAGGCGGAGGTAAGAATTTACACTTTTTTACTATGTTCCATCTGAATTCACTCTGACACAGAAACATCTATATTGATTCTGACACTTCTACATCCATTTCACAGATGTAACCTTGCTTTGAGAAAAAAGATGATTAATTTAACCCTTTTAGAAGTGAAGTTATAGTCATTTGTTCTGGGCATGTCATTTTCGAGCCTGAAACCTGAAAAACAGGCTTGGGGTCTAACAGGTTTTTAAAGGACAAGGTGAATACATGGTGTGGTGTGGCTTAACACAACATACCAGATTAATAACAGAGTTTCTGCTCAGCTTGAGATTGACATATGCATCTTCTTTTTACTTTAAAAGATGAATACTTTATTGATCCTTTCTGGAAAATGTCACACAGCAGCCGACGAAATCAGTCAGGTGGAAGGTGTCACATGACTGCACTACGACCCATGAGTGAAACAACGAGGGTGAGCAGTATTTTATTAGACAATGCAGTGCACTGCAGTCCTGACATCTCATCGTCTGACCAATATGTGGAAGTGGTATTCCACCAACAATTACCCCCAGGCTTTAATAATACATGTTCATACATAAGGATATCTAAAATATAACAACGGAGAGACAGCTAGCTAAAAGATAAAGGGCACTCATACTGTACGACTGCTGCACAAAGCTGATTCAAAACCAAAATATAAGCAGTATAACAGATGGTGGAAGGTTTCTAAATGTTATTTTTGTGTGTTTCTCAGCCAGGATATGTGAAGCTGTCTAAGCCGGTGGCCCTGTGGACCCAGCAGGATGTGTGCAAATGGCTGAAGAAACACTGTCCCAATCAGCACCAGATCTACAGCGACTCCTTCAAACAGCACGATATCACAGGTACTGTTTCACACTTTCACTGACCTGTACGGCGTCTCTTATGGAGGTCGTCCAAAAATAATTTATTCTGCAGTTTAACTGTAGCCATCAATGCAGGGTTTGTTCTAGCTGTTGCTAGGTGATTAGTGTTAAATGATTATACTTATATTGTTGGAAAATATATGACAAACAAATCAACAACCATTTATGATGAAGGTTGAACCTCTATTTTGTCATATGCAGTTATTAGCTCCTTTTAGTGCAAAACTGAAGCATTTAAAGGTCTCCTATTATGCTATTTTTAGGCATATATATTATGGGCATATATTATTATATAAAAAACATGTCTATGATGTGTTTTGCTCAAAATACCAAACAGATCATGCATTTTAGACGTCCCTAATATTCCTCTATTTCAGGCCTGTTAGAGAACTGCAGGTTCGGGGTCCTTAGCGTGAAAAAAAAGAGGAGGGGGACTTAATGCCTGCTCAGAATTCTACCGGAGATTCAGCTAAATGCTCCCATGATTAAACGCCATCATGTTCAAAACCACATCAAGGATTATTACTGAAACAATATGGAGCTCAAATGCTTTTTCTCTTGCTGGTTTACCACAAGGTGAGTTCCTTTTTTTATTTCCTGCTTTTTGACACATACTCTCTCCAGTACAGGTTAGCTCTGAGTGTTAGCGATGCTAATGTAAACAAAGACCATATGACGTCCAAAACAGTCGGGCATTGTTTCTGATGGCAACGTTTCTGATAGGGCCGTAGGTCCACATATCCGATATTACGTCATATCGGACGCAAATCTGGATCAGCTCCGTTGTACCCCCGTTTTTAAAGATTTGGTTACGGAGGAAAAAGAGAGAGGGTTTTGTTTTCTGACAATTTATGAGTTCCCTGACACACCGGGGACACATATTTATGTATAAAAGACTTCAAAAAGTGCATTTTGCATGATAGGTCCCCTTTAAGTTGCCGTGGAGACTCATCTCTGCCTTAGATCTTAACTTTTCATTTGTCATCTTGATGAAGCCAGATTTCATCCATAACATCCAGGTGCGCTCGGCTCCCACTGTCTGCCGCCTGCAGCCGTGCCACCCGGCCTCCAGTCTGTCCGTCCCCGCCCGCTCACTGTCGGCGTCACCCCCGACAACCGTTTGCCACGTCAATCATTTCCCTAACGAGGCTCCTCAAGGTCACCCCGGCGCTAACGACACTCCGGTCTGCATGGTAACAGACGAACGTTAATTGCCTCGCACTCGGAGCACGACCGATCACATTAATATGTTTATTTGTCGGTTTGGAGGACCTCCTCGACTCACTGGCTGGCTGGCAGGATGAATCGCTCGGCGGTCACGATGAGCAGCGTAATGACTTCTGCTCTCATTTTCCTTGGTGATGCATTTGGACTTTTATACGGTTGCATGGAGGGTTTTGAGATTTAGCATCCCCTGTTAAATGGTCTGAAAATATGGATCTTACTGCTTTTCAGTTGAACTTGCAGATATATCTCATCAGGTCCAGGAGATAACCCACAGTTCATTGCACACTTAGTGAACCGCTGCTACATTTTCAATCTATCTTCAAGTGGGATCATTTTGGAAAACTTTTCTCTCTTTCTCTATTCATGAACAATTGCTGTCATGACTTAGTACTTTAAGTTTTTTAATATTTAATAATTTGGGTCTTATGCAATATTAATTATTCAGAGTAATAATTCAGAATAGATAAATGCACATATGTACATGAAAAGGACTTAAAGAGTCTGCCACTGAAAAGACTACTGATCACATCCTTGCAGTGTTTGTTGCATAAAAGAGAAATTGTGTCAAGTCATCCAGTCCTTCAGTTAGTAGAACATTTCTCAAGGGGTCCATATCTAATTATGGCATATTAATCTAACTTTAAGATTAAATGCCTCAGTGTTCCTGACAAGCCCAATGCTTTCAGTTATAATCTGTAAATAAATTATATTTGCTCATATTACTCTTTCAGTGATTAAAACATTCGAATGGTGTATTAACTTAATGATCTGTGTTTGTAATGATTTTGACAAGATAATATAAGAGAGGAGAGAGTTAACAACATATTCATGCACATACAGTACTCACACACACATGCTTTCCTACTGGCACAATTAAGAGATAATGACATGCGCAAAACCTGCAAGTAATTCAGTTTGTCTTCACGTCGAGCATTAATTAACGGAACCCAATTAAAACAGGCCAAGCCACACCAATTGGGCTCACAAGGCAATTTGCATCCCAATCAATCTTTGCAATATTATGCAGATATTTCTTTTTCTGCTCCTACACTCTATTAGAATAAACAAGGGGGGAAACAAATGACGAGTGGAATACTGTTGTGGAAAACAATCATGCGTAGACAAACAAACAGTGAGTATGAATACATTTATAAGGGCATGCAGTCGTGTATCTGTGGATATCTATTGCTTCAGTGGGCTTCTCGTGCAATAGCTGTAACCCTTGAAAACTGAAAATGTGTGTATCTACAGAACATGCATACTGTAGGCCGGATTTATTATTTGCCGACCCAGATAGTAGATTTTGGCTGTATTTTATGTCCAATCCATCCAACAGAATACTCAATGCTCTTTACAGCTGCCAGCGGTACTCAAATCTCACTTGTCTTGGCAACATAGTCATCCCCTTCATAAACTACAAAATCAATATACAGTCTCAATTCCAGATCATAATTCAAACAGACATTTGTGTCCACCCCTCCTTTTACATAAAACAGCGGCGAGGGAAATGCATTTTACTGCGTATCAGTGCCGGTGCACCATTTGTAACGCAGAATGCCTTCAGTATGCAGCAGCTGCCTCCCTGCTAGGCTCCTGTAACCTCAGCCAAAGAAATCAATGTTTCCCATCCTCCCTGCAGCCTATAGCTGCCAAGAAACCCTTTCCCTCCCTCAATCTTCACCTCCCGCCCCCATCGGAGACGGCGGCGAATTTGACTTTAACACCCAGCTGTCATTAAAAATGCATTAAAGCATATTAAGGCATAATGAGATATTAGTCCCTAATCCCTTGTAATTAGAAGGACAAAGCTCTTTTGCTGGGAGAGTTGCCTGGCATGAAACATTTGTTAAACACACAATTTCCGATACCTTAGATGTAATCAGTGCAAAAGGTGTGATGACATAGGTAATGAAAGTAAGGGGATGGCAGAGGGGGAAAAAGGGGTGAGTTACTGTTAAGTTATATTTTCTGTCCAAGGAGTCCATTACATCACATTGTGGAAAGTCAGAGTGCCTCTAAATGCATACTAAGAATGATATGCAGCTGTAAAGGCTGGCTGCAGGGGCGGGGGTTACATTTGTAAATGAGTAAAAATGTGTTGGGGCTTACATTAAGAAACTGTACATTTATAATAAGTGCATTGTTTATCCATTAGTCAGTGTCAGTGATTGCCCAATTACAAACTTCAAGTACTCTAATGTGAAATTGTAAGAATGAATTGCTGCTAAAGGCAACTTGAAATAGCTCTGGATTGATTATGGTTCTTGGACACATATGAAAGGCTCCCACCCCTTCCAACATAGGAGCTAAACACCCAGGCCAAAAGAGAAACAAAACAACATTTAGGAAAATTCTTTAGCCTTGATAAAAATTGAGAATTGAGTGCAGTGTGAATTGGGAATACTTCTCCGACCATGCATCTGTTTGACTGTTTTTCCTCACACAGGAACACCCAGGTCAGTTAATAACCAGCCTCCTGATAGCCCTTGATGTATGCTGTCATAAGACCTTACTCTGAATAATTAATAGCCTGTAATATTAGTGGTTTAATGAAGGGCGGCCTGTGTTCAGCAGCTCACACTATACCACTTCAGTTCTTCTGAAGGTCTGTGTTCGACCCCCTTCTGGTTTATCCATCATCCCTCCACTTTGAAAAAAAACCCAGTTGCCTGCCTTACTCTGGCCGTGATCTCCCGTCCAGTAAAAGGTCTCACGCTGGGTACAAAATGTATATTTGATGAGCTGAAGAAAAGCATGAAAAGTGATAAACACTGTTTTTAAAGAAGGACAAAGACGCTCTGAAACAGGCCTTAACAGCACTTGAGGGATGAGACAATGGATCCTGAAGGCGCCACAGACTGCTGTAATAAAAGTGCTGCTGTCTAATAGAGAGAACTGGCATAAACGAGTGAAAGGGACTTAACATGGCTGCGGCATAATAATAACGAAATCAACTCAAGAGCCACAAAACGACTCCTCTGGTGCCCATTGTTTTGTGTAATTTCCAAAAGGGAAATTTGAACAGCTCGCGGCTGATGAGCTGTTTGGGGGACAATTTGATCCGCAGACAGAAGGAATCGCGGTTAATGATGCCATTGGCAAGGTGATTATATGTAATATGTAATATAAAATTAATTACTGCTCTGCCAAATTGCATGTTTTGTAAATGTCGTCCTTGCTTTTCCATATGGAGGGTTTGGAAATGAATCTTCCGAGACTGAATGACGTGCAGTGGAGCAGTTACATAAATAGTGTGGTTTGGCTCATTATACACACACTCTTAGTTTCACTACTGATGCTGTTGATGATGAACAAACACAGACCATAAAACTGTATTCCTCTATTATACATTATTCAATGTTTTCCAACTTCAGTCCATATTTGCAATAGCATACAGAAAGGAGAAAAGCCTTGACCTGGCACAAAGGGGGGAAAAAAGACTCATGACATTCAATTCATTTCAGCTCACGCCCCTAGTGAGCCTTTAGTAATGATCATAGCAAGAAAATGAGAGATTTGGAGAAAGACACAAGGACTCTGAGGCCATGTGATTACAGTCCCAATCAGAGTAATCTTCTCACGGAGTACCGCTCTCAGTTTGCTCTCCAGCTTACAAAAGCTAATACCAGGCAGTGCCACATGAAGCCTGAATGTGTGTGTGGTGTTCATGTTGTGTTTTAGACTGTAAATGAGGCTGCTTTTTGCTCCACAGGAAGCTTTAGAACATTGAGTATTGCTTTCTTCAAGACCAG